ACTGTGATTCCTTGCCAGCACTAGGACAGCTTCCTTCTTTGAAATTCCTTTCGATTAGAGGGATGCATCGAATAACAGAGGTGACGGAAGAATTTTATGGTAGTTCATACTCCAAAAAGCCTTTTAACTCTCTTGAGAAGCTTGAATTTGAAGGGATGCCGGAGTGGAAGCAATGGCACGTACTAGGAAATGGAGAATTTTCTACACTTGAGAACCTTTCAATTGAAAATTGTCCTAAGTTAATGGGGAAGTTGCCTGAAAATCTTTGTTCTCTTACAGAATTGAGTATTTCAAGATGTCCTGAACTCAATTTGGAGACACCTATCCAACTTTCAAGTTTACAAATATTTGGTGTTTTTGATTCTCTTCTTTTTTATGAGGCTGGACTGTTTACATCCCAACTTGAGGGAATGAAGCAGATTGTTGATTTATCTGTTGGTGATTGCAACTCTCTTACCTCCTTACCTTTTAGCATACTGCCAAGTACCTTGAAGACAATATGGATATATCATTGCCGGGAACTGAAATTGGAGTCGCCAGATGGTGAGATGAGTTATTGCAACATGTTTCTCGAGGATTTGACATTGGAAGAATGTGATTCTATATCACCTGAGTTGCTCCCAAGAGCACGCACTTTGTGGGCAATAAGTTGCCCCAACCTTACAAGGTTCTTAATTCCTGCTGCCACTGAAACTCTCTCTATTTGGAGTTGTGAAAAACTTTCGGTGGCATTTCCATCTGCGATAACGTATTTGCATATTGATGACTGTTCGAAGCTGAAGTGGCTGCCAGAACAGATGCAGGAACTCCTTCCATCTCTTAAGGAACTAATTCTGGAAAATTGTCCAGAAATAGAGTCATTTCCTGAAGGAGGATTGCCCTTCAATTTACAAAAACTTGAGATCCTTCATTGCAAGAAACTAGTCAACGACCGAAAGGAGTGGCGTTTACAGAAACTTCCCTGTCTCAGAGATTTAGTGATCAAACATGATAGCAGTGACAAAGAGATTGAACATTGGGAGTTGCCTTGCTCTATTCGACAGTGAACATTGGGAGTTGTCTCAGTTAGATTGCAGTAATCACTTTAATAGTCAAATAAAACGACTTGTCTGTAATTGCAATATGTGGATTGGTAAGAAGGTTGTGATTTCCAATTCGCACAGCTGTCTACTATGCCTTCCTTGAGATGAAGCATGACTTGCTGCAAATGAAACATCCAGCTCTAATGTACCCAAAGGTCGGATGAGGACAAGACCATGGTTGGTTACGCTTCAACTCAGTTTACCCAGTATACACATAGTGTGATTGCTGTTGTCTTGGTGTTCCCGAGCATATAATATCCGTGTGATAACACGAAGGCGTGGAGGTGGCAAGGCGGTAAGAAATATGAAGAAAAAACTGAAAGTTTTAGAGAAGTTTTGAAACATTAGCAAGGCTCAACAATGATTTGGAAAGTGGAATATTTTTGTAAGGTCTATGGATGTTGGATTGAACATCAAGAGTCAGGACTATGAATGTAATAGTTTGTATTGTTGAGACTTTAGGTTCTATGTTCGCATGACTTCAAAATGCGTCACTTGACTCTAAGGTCGCTTCTTCATATACCAGCAATCAACTTCTCTCTTGCCTAGGATGCTACAATGACATTCTTTTGGATGCTACAATGACATTCTTTTTACTCTGGATAAATAGAACATTAAGTGAAAATTCCTCCAGGCTTAGAAAGAGAAATCTATCAAAAAAGGGGAAAAAGCTCGAAGTATCCAACAGAGTATGTCGGATTAGCCATTTATTTTAACTTATTTTTCCCTTCTACACACTTTTTTTTGTCTCCCACCCGGTGTGTAGAGCTCGCATTGAAGCGGCGACTAAATTCGAATCGCGTTCTACAGGGCCCATTTTGGTATGGACTCAAACTGAGACCTCTGGTTAAGGGTGAAACAATCTCACACTAAATTACAACAAATTATTGTCACGTTCTATTATAATGATAAAATGTTTTTGACCAATCATAGTAAATCATGAGTTGACATTCTAGATCACAACAATTACAGATCATGACCGTAATAAAAGCAAATTAACATTGCTTAATATTTTAAAGACCTATTACTATCTCCAAAAAATATATGTTGTACTAAAACTACTAATGTTTGCTCTTTCTATTCTCAAATTCTATAATATTTAAGGAAATGCTTCTTTTTTTATGTCATCAGACAAAATGTGATTGTTATAACTAGTGTCATGATCCAAACATTAGTTTTAGCACAGCTAAATTACTTTTGGTCCCTTTTCACACTATAATAAGCCGGGTAGAATTCTATCATTTTAAGCTCTTTATTTTTTAGTCCCCCACCTAGGCTCCCCTTTCTACATCCCTAATAAATTACCCTTCCTTTCTTGCTTCAATTATTGAGTTGAGAATGTAATGAATTTGCTTCAATTTATCATTATCTTCTTGTTGTTTGGAAAGTCTTACTTATGAAAGGAGAAAAAAAATGAAAGTTGGCACCTGGTGGCAGCGGCGGAGCCAGGAATTTCAATAAAGGGGTTCAAAATCTGTAGAATAGATACACGAAGTAGCCGCAGGGGGTTCAACATCTACTATATATACATAAAAATATTATTTTAACCATGTATAAATAGTATAATTTTCTGCTGAAGGGGATTCGGATAAACCACCTTAGTATAAGGTGGCTCCGCCCTTGTCTGGTGGTGCATTTCTCTCTTGAGCTTTGAGATGTTCCGTATCGTTAACACGATGGTTTATTATGTATAAATATAATATTAAATAAATTATATAATACAACTAGCACATGTATTTATTTTTTTCTAAAGAAAAGGGTCTGATATACTTTTTAACTTTGTGATTTAAAGCTGATATAACTCTTCTTAAAAGAGTGGCTTACATATACTTCTATTGTTACATAAATGACTCACATATATCATTTTCCTCTAAAGAAAATTTTAAAAAAATCAATTTTAAATTATTTTTTTGAAAAAGCCATTTATGTAGGGATATATTTGATCCTTCTCACATATAATTTTTTTTGGCTTCTTTGATTCAACGGCTAATTTGGATTTATTATTTTGATGATTAAATTTATTTTTACTAAATTTCTTGTCAAATTTAGTACATATGCCCAATTTATTTATTTTTTAATGATACAAAAAAAATACAACATATCTGAAAAAAATTAGCTCTAAATTTTTATTATTTAAAAAAAAAAAAGAGTTGAAAAAAATTCTCAATTTAATTTTTGTTAGGTTTTGATGTGGAATTAAGAGGGGTAGGTAAGTTGATTGGTGACCATCAAATTTTATCAATTACTTTTGGCACAACTTGTGTTGTCTTGGCCTCATGCCCTTTTCCACTACATCACAATAACCCAACAATCAATATATATTGAGAGAGAGCGTGCGTGATCGCAAAATTGATGTACTAACTTCGATCAATTTAAGTGTTATAGCTTATTTGAACACAAAATTTAAGAAATAAAAAGTAAAATTTATGATTTTAAATTAAATATATATATGTGTTTTTTAAATTTTGTAATCTTAAACTTTCGATAAATTATGGACAAACTAAAAGTATCAAAGAGGTTCTACTTTGTAGAATACACAAATATTAACTTATTAAAATCTTTCGATGCATTTATGCAGCAAGTTCAATAGAAAAGATATGATGAGTGATTATAAAAAGAGATTATGTTGATTTAAAAGATAACCACATGGAATCTAATTAAATATAAAATAATCAAATGTCCTTGAGGAAGGTAACCACATGGAATCTAATTAAAAGTTCTGTTCAATTCAAAATTCATCAATAATATTTTCAAGAATGATTTCTTTTTTTTTAAAAATAAAAGAAAGAAAATTTTCAAGAATGTAAAGTAAACATATTTTTAATATGATAGATCCCTTTTAACACTATAATGAGTTGTGTAGAAATCTATCATTTTAAGCTCTTTTATATTTGAGTCCCCCACCTAGGCCCCCCTTTCTACATCCCAAATAAATTACTCTTCTTCTCTTGCTTCAATTATTGAATTGAGAAAGTAATGAATTCGCTTCAATTTATCATTGTCTTCATGTTGTTTGAAAAGTCTTACTTTTGAAAGGAGAAAAAAATAACAGTTGGTGGTGTATTTCTCTCTTGAGTTTTGACTCATAGGGTCTAACATACTTCTTAACTTTGTGATATAAAGTTTATATGACTCTCGTTAAAAAAGTGGCTCACATATACCTTTTTTCTTCTAACAAAAGTGAAAAATTCAATTCAACATTTATGTAAGGATATATTTGATCATTCTCACACGTAATTGCTCATCCTCAATGTATCCATTTGTTCATCCTTCCATTGTTGCATCTTTCAATGATAGAATTCGTCCACTTCTTGACTGTATAGACAAGCTCCGCCACCTTAACATAATGCAAGAAGGTATCCAGCTCCCAACGATCGTAGTAGTCGGAGATCAATCACTAGAGTTGCTGTACAAGGACAACCTGAAGATATTTATGAGCAAATTATGAAATATATAGTCCCTGAAGAAAGCATAATCTCAGAAACAAGCCTTAAAACAAGACTCATTAATTGTCAAACACCCCAGGAAAGTAATTTTGTGCAATTCAAATATGGAAGTAATTTTGTGCAATTCAAATATTGAGATGTTATCCGCGAGTGTGTTGCACACTTTTACGTATTTGGCTGAATTAGCCAAAAATGTCAAAATAGCACAACGTACTGAACCTTGTATTGATGTTTAAATGATACAAAGACTTTGGTCTCTAAATGGTCCCCATTTTCTACAACCCCCAACTACCCTCAATTGAGAAAGCAATGAATAGTCACTAGCAAACATAGTTGTACCAATTACAGCTTCTTGTTTGTAAATTTACTAGCAAAAGAGAGAGAGAGAGAAATCAGTGATCATTCTTGTTTGCAAATTACTTTTAGCATTCAACAGGTAAAGTAAAGTTGTTAGTAATTGAAGATACAAACATTCATCTTCTCAAATTTCTTAAAATCATTTTGTGTTTTGCTTTGCAGATTTCAGAAATGGAGTCTGGCTTAGCAGTTGGTGGTGCATTTATCTCTTCAGCTTTGAATGTTCTCTTTGATAGGCTTGCACCTCAGGGTGAGCTGCTCAAGATGTTTCAGAAGCATAAGAATGATGTTCGTCTCTTAAAGAAGCTGAGAATGACTTTGCTTGGTCTTCAAGCTGTGCTAAGTGATGCAGAGAGTAAGCAGGCATCAAATCAATTTGTGAGCCAGTGGCTTAATGAGTTTCGAAATGCTGTCGACTCTGCTGAAAACTTAATGGAAGAGGTCAATTATGAGGCTTTGAGACTTAAGGTTGAAGGTCAGCATCAAAATCTTGCAGAAACTAGCAACCAGCAAGTAAGTGACAATAACCTGTGCTTGAGTGATGATTTTTTCCTTAACATAAAGGAGAAGTTGGAAGACACTATTGAAACATTGAAAGATTTGCAAGAGCAAATTGGTGACCTTGGCTTAAAGGACCAATTTGGTTCCACTAAACAAGAAACTAGAACACCTTCAACTTCTTTGGTTGATGATTCTGATATCTTTGGTAGGCACAAGGAAATAGAGGATTTGATTGTCCGTTTATTGTCTGAAGATGCAAATGGAAAAAATCTGGCTGTAGTTCCTATCGTTGGAATGGGCGGCGTGGGTAAGACAACACTTGCTAAAGCCGTTTACAATAATGAGAAGGTGAAGGACCATTTTGGTTTGAAAGCTTGGTTTTGTGTTTCTGAGGCATATGATGCTTTCAGAATAACAAAAGGTTTACTTCAAGAAATTTGCTTAACGGTTGATGACAATCTTAATCAGCTACAAGTCAAATTGAAGGAAAGCCTGAAGGGAAAGAAGTTTCTTGTTGTCCTTGATGATGTGTGGAATGATAACTATAACGAGTGGGATGACTTGAGAAATCTTTTTGTACTAGGAGATTTGGGAAGTAAGATCATTGTAACTACACGAAAGGAGAGTGTTGCTTTGATGATGGGTAGTGGAGCAATCAATGTGGGAACTCTGTCTAGTGAAGTCTCTTGGGCTTTATTCAAACGACATTCACTAGAAAACAGGGATCCTGAGGAACATCCAGAATTTGAAGAGGTTGGAAGAAAAATTGCAGACAAGTGCTAAGGGTTGCCTTTAGCTCTAAAGGCACTTGCTGGTATTTTACGCTGCAAATCAGAGGTGGATGAGTGGAGAGACATTTTAAGAAGTGAAATTTGGGAGCTTCCAAGTTGTTTGAATGGTATATTACCAGCGTTGATGTTGAGTTACAATGATCTTCCTGCACATTTGAAGCAATGTTTTGCTTATTGTGCAATATATCCCAAAGATTATCCATTCTGCAAAGACCAAGTTATTCACTTGTGGATTGCTAATGGTCTTGTACCACAGTTTCGTGCAGGTAATCAATACTTCCTTGAGTTTAGATCAAGATCACTATTCGAAATGGTTCCAGCATCTTCTGAAAGAGACGTAGAGAAATTCTTAATGCATGACCTTGTGAATGATTTGGCCCAAATTGCATCTTCTAAACTTTTAGGTTGGAAGAGAACAAAGGATCTCATATGTTGGAACAAAGTCAGCATATGTCCTATTCCAAATCAGAGCAGCTGAGGACATTGATTCCAGTCAATAACTTTTACTCAGATCAGCTAAGCAAGAGGGTGATGCATAACATACTGCATAACATATTGACAAGACTAACATCCTTAAGGGCATTATCATTGTCAGGTTATCCGTTTGTGGAGTTGCCGGATGACTTGTTTATCAAATTAAAGCTCCTGAGATTTTTGGACCTTTCCTCGACAATGATTAAAAAGTTGCCAGATTCCATTTGTGTATTGTATAACTTGGAGACACTTCTCTTGTCATATTGTTCTTATCTTGAGGAGCTACCACTGCAGATGGAGAAGTTGATTAACTTGCATCATCTTGACATAAGCAACACTGATCGGTTGAAGATGCCGCTACATCTGAGCAAGTTGAAAAGTCTCCATGTGCTAGTGGGAGCCAAGTTTCTTCTAGGCAGTCCTGGTGGATCGAGCATGGAAGATTTGGGTGAACTGCATAACTTGTATGGATCTCTATCAATTCTAAGGTTGCAAAATGTGGTTGATAGAAGGGAAGCTTTGAAGGCAAAGATGAGGGAGAAGAATCATGTTGAAAAATTATCATTGGAGTGGAGTGGAAGTAGTGTCGCCCACAATTCACAAACTGAAAGAGACATACTTGATGAACTATGCCCACACACAAACATAAAAGAAGTCGAAATCACCGGATATAGAGGGACAAAATTTCCAAATTGGCTAGCTGATCATTCGTTTCTTAAGCTGGTGGAATTGTCTCTTAGCTACTGCAAGGACTGTTATTCCTTGCCAGCACTAGGACAACTCCCTTGTTTGAAATTCCTTTCCATTAGTGAGATGGATGGAATAACAGAGGTGACAGAAGAATTCTATGGCAGTTCATCCTCCAAAAAGCCTTTTAACTCTCTTGAGAAGCTTGAATTTTATAATATGCCAGAGTGGAAGCAATGGCACATACTAGGAAGTGGCGAGTTCCCTAAACTTGAGAAGCTTTCAGTTGTAAATTGTCTAAAGTTGGGGAAGTTGCCTGAAAATCTTTGTTCTCTGACAGAATTGATAATTTCAGTATGTCCTGTACTCAATTTGGATACATCCCTACTTGAGGGAATGAAGCAGATTGTTGAATTATCTATTGTTCATTGTAACTCTCTTACCTCCTTACCTTTTAGCAGACTGCTGAGTTCCTTGAAGAGAGTAGAGATATCTGATTGTCAGAAATTGAAATTGGAGGAGCCAGTTGGTGAGATGAGTTATTGTAATATGTTTCTGGAGGATTTGACACTGGAAGAATGTGATTGTATAGATGATATATCACCTGAGTTGCTCCCAAGAGCACACACATTGAATGTATCTAATTGCCACAACTTTACTAGGTTTTTGATTCCCTCTGCCCCTGAAATGCTCTCTCTTTTTAGTTGTTGCAATCTTGAAAGACTTTCGGTGCCATGTGGGGGGATCCAGATAACGTTTTTGGATATTTCGCACTGTTTGAAGCTGAAGTGGCTTCCAGAACGTATGCAGGAACTCCTTCCATCTCTTAAGAATCTGCATCTGGATGATTGTCCAGAAATAGAGTCCTTTCCTGATGGAGGATTGCCCTTCAATTTACAACAACTTGTGATCATGAATTGCACGAAACTGGTGAATGGACGAAAAGAGTGGCTTTTACCGAGACTCATAGAGTTAGTGATCGAGCATGATGGCAGAGAGGAAGAGATGGAACATGATGGCAGAGATGAAGAGATGGAATATGATGGCAGTGACGAAGAGATCGAGCATGATGCCAGTGCCGAAGAGATCGAACATGATGCCAGGGACGAAGAGATCGAACATGATGCCAGTGACGAAGAGATGGAGCATGATGGCAGTGACAAAGAGATTGAACATGATGCCAGGGACGAAGAGATCGAACATGATGCCAGTGACGAAGAGATGGAGCATGATGGCAGTGACAAAGAGATTGAACATGATGCCAGGGACGAAGAGATCGAACATGATGCCAGTGACGAAGAGATGGAGCATGATGGCAGTGACAAAGAGATTGAACATGATGCCAGGGACGAAGAGATCGAACATGATGCCAGTGACGAAGAGATGGAGCATGATGGCAGTGACAAAGAGATGGAGCATGATGGCAGGGACGAAGCTATTGAACATGATGGCAGTGACGAAGAGATCGAACATGATGGCAGTGACGAAGAGATGGAACATTGGGAGTTGCCTTCCTCTATTACAACTCTTAGCGTACGCAGTCTGAAAACATTAAGCAGCCAGGATCTCAAAAGCCTCACCTCTGTTCAATATCTATCTACCTCAAATTCAGTCAATGTTGGAAGAAGGGCGGCTTCCCTCCTCTCTTTCTGAGCTACATTTAAGTTACCATGATGAGCTCCATTCACTACATCTTTGGCACCTCACTTCGCTTCAAAGTCTACACATCGTTCATTGCCATAATCTCCAATCACTTTCCGAATCAGCACTACCCTCCTCCCTCTCTGAGCTGACCATTTTGGATTGCCCTAAGCTCCAATCACTTCCAGCAAAAGGGATGCCCTCTTCCCTCTCTAAACTAACTATTTCCCGCTGCCCATTGCTCACACCACTACTAGAATTTGGCAAGGGGAAATACTGGCTAAATATTGCTCAAATTCCCATCATATATATTGATCATATATACATGTAATGATTATAACAAATAGTGCTCTGACAAATGTAAGTTATTCTTTACCCTGAGAAGCTTATTATTTTTGTTTACTTCACTTTGCTTTTTTGCTAATTCTTTTCCTTTGTTTTAATATCTTGTCGAGCAGTGTGGAGCGTCTATTGCTCAAACAACGGCTACTGACCAAAAATTGCTCATATTTCCACCATAAATGTTGATTGGGAGAACCTGTAATGATTAAAACAAGTGGTGCTTCAATAGATGTAAGTTATTCTATTTCTTTAGTATCTTTTCATTTTTAGTTTATTCTTTTTCTGTTATATCTTTTTGACCAGTGTGTATCATCTATGGCTTCTGTGAAGTCAAGGAAATATGTTTAGATTTGTAAAAGAAATCTTTATATTTGTAATTATAGACCGTTGCTTGAATGTGGTCTGACACCTAAGTGTAAGTGAATAAAGATAGTTTCGCAGTTTTGTCGCTGAATAACTATCTGCATTTTAATTTTTTTGCTTTGATCACATGTAAAATGCAGATAGTTATTCATCGAAATGCCATTTTGATATTTTTTTCTTAAAAGAAATAAATTGAAAATAGTTATTTATATCAAATAGTTGTTAAATAATAAATTTCAATTTTTTTGCTTTGATCACATGCCGTGGCCGACATTGAAATTGATAAAAATATTATCTAATTAAAAACTTACTATTTTAAGTCATAAATTTAATATATATTAATTAACTATAATTAGGTAAATAAAAAAAACATAGTATTTTGAAAGATACATGTCATGCATGTACTTAGAAGTCATTTGATTGGATGATTTGAGAGTTTAGCACAAAATTTAGCTTTATTTATTTCGTATTTAATTGTCATTTTCAAATACCTATTACTAATATTAGTATTACACTCACATCATCAATTTTCGCAAACATAATTTTTCTCATTGTTGTAAGAAAACGTTAACGATCTTTAAAAGTCACTCGATATATGAATAAAGTTACAATGAAGACTATAATGCAAGATTTCTGGTTTGATTGTCATCTTCAATACCGGCCTACTATAAACATTAAGTTTATGCTTTGAACTTTTTATACATAAATTTCTGTGATCATTAGAATGATATATATCTTTGATATTAATGACGTTTAATATTCTTTTCAGAATATAATTAGATCGTGCTCATCATCAAACGCGTAGCTTTATTTTTATGTTCCATAGAGAATCTAAGTTTTAGAAAAGATAATCACGGATAATGACAGGAGTATTAGGAAAAAGTAAACTTCCATTGGCAGAATTATTAGATGTGTTATAGACTTGTAGCTAATTGTTATGCGTTATATAATTCTTGGAAGGTAGCTGGTATTGAATTGGTTTCTCATTGCTTAGTGACTTATACTCTTATCACGTAGTTTAACTTCAAATCTCAATTGCAAAAGACATCATATGTAAGCATCAACCATCCCATGTCAAGAATGAAACTTTTCTTAATAGTATAACGAAGATCTGTAGTCACTATAGAAGTAGAGGGAATTGAAATTGATCATGAGGGAAAAGTATATCATCGAGTGGTACAAGCTGTTCAAAGTATGATGCTGTCTTACTTACTACTCTTTGTTACAATTACAGACTGTGTGGTCTGTAATTGTAACACGGGGATTGCCTTAGAGTTCTAAAATTTCTTTTTAATTGCTTTCAGTATGGAGGTTGTGATTTCCAAGTCGTGCAGCCGTCTACTATGGCTTCCTTGAGATGAAGCATGACTTGATGCAAATGGAACATACAACTCTAATGGAACCCAAAGGTACATTAGGAAAAAAGTTGTTTTAAGTATTACGCAAGAGAGGTATTGGCATTATGGTCATAGATTATAAGGAAAGATATTACTTTTTCATTGTCAGGATTTTGACAAGGCTCGGTGATCATTTGGGAAGTGAAAAGTTTCGAAGGTTTCTCTGTTCAAGTCGAGAAGTGAAAGCTATTGAACTATGTATGTAATAGCTTGTACTGTTGAATTTTGGTCCTAGGCCCCTACGACTTTAAAATGCATCACTTGGGTCTAATGTCATTCTTTTTATACCAACAGTCAATATCTTTCTTGCGTTTTATCGACGTGGTACATGCCTAGTATACTACAATGATGTTCTTTTTACT